ATAGAGAGAGATATATTGTGTGTAAATTGACGTTTTTTTTTGTATCTTAGGCTCCTTTCGGCCAACTCTTTTTCAAAGGTAATCGTTGTCGAAATACAAAACAATCAGGACGCACTAATAATAATAACGAATGAGGAGGGACAAGTTGGAACGCGATTGAAATATATTTTAATTGTAAATAATTCTCGAATGAAATAACTTAGAAGTTCCACAAGAGTATAAAATAGAAAAATAAAGACGCTGTCATTCAGTCTATCGTAAGGAGCGCACAAAATGCTCCTTTTATTTACATAAGCTCGGCTGGTAAAATTTTATATACACAACCTCGATTTGTCGATCGGGCAGCATTTGCTGGACTGTCCTGACTGTGTCGCTGAACATGAGGACACATGGTTTTCTATTCTACATAATGCTCGTTCGGTTTATCACCTTCTTGTCCTTGAGGCTGTGTATAATTGCCGCAAGGAATACATGGGAGAAATCTCCAGGAATTTAAATAAAAGACTATAAGAACACAAAAGTGATATTTTACAAAACAACACATTATACGCATTAATTGCTTTGGTTTACAAAATGCTTCTCTAATTAAAAAAAAAATCTACTAAGACGAAAGTCTATAGAAAGTGCTTTAAATGCTAGATCATCCAAAGCAAATTTGCGTCCAGTTTATTACAACGTTTCACCATTCTTGGCAGATCTTCTATAACCACATGGGTGGATATTTAATAGTAAAAGTGATGAAAACAGCTCGGATAGAGGAATCAGAGAGCCGAGTTCGATTTCCAGACGAATCCATGACATTCACTTACGTGATAATACCCTTGGGGAATGTATGAATCCTCTTCTTCCCTCAGCTATGGGTAAATAGCAGGAAAGACCGGTTTCTATAGCCATGGATGGCAACTGGTCTACCGCAGAAAGAGATGGCAACCTACTGCGGGAAAAATCTACCTCATTTGTTATGTATCGAAAGATACATGATCGCCTAAGCGTGTATCACGCATACCACTTAACTGACTGACTGATGAAAACAAACAGAAAGAAAAAAAAATTAAATGAAATCGGCTAAGATTATACACTCCCAAAAATATTTTTAAAAAAGTTTAGAAACTCCCAGCATCTTTCGTTCGTGCAGTCACATCAACATAAACATAAACTTAGACTGATGAAGTCCTAAAGGACGAAACACGTTACACGAAAACCTATTCCACTTTGTCATATTTCTTTCCCCGAATATATATGTATTTACTTATGTGTTTGTATGAATGTGTGGATTCGCATGTGTATACGTGTATGTAAGTATATGTGTGTGTGTATGTATTAAATTCTATTATTATGATGGAGACTGACTTTAAGATTTAAAAAAAAATAATATATTACTTTCAATTCCCCTTCTTATATAAGTATATCTCGTAGCACGTCAGGTTTAGTATAGGATACACGTTCAATTCCTATCCGAGGACGCATATTTACGTAGCACGTTAGGTTTAGTATAGGATACACGTTCAATTCCTATCTGAGGACGCATATTTACGTAGCACGTCAGGGTTAGTATAGGATACGTTCAATTCCTATCCGAGGACGCATATTTTACGTAGCACGTCAGGTTTAGTATAGGATACACGTTCAATTCCTATCCGAGGACGCATATTTACGTAGCACGTCAGGTTTAGTATAGGATACACGTTCAATTCCTATCCGAGGACGCATATTTACGTAGCACGTCAGGTTTAGTATAGGATACACGTTCAATTCCTATCCGAGGACGAAAATATTCGTTCTTTGACAGGATATTTTCTATGAAAATTTCTCGGACATTCAGGCCGGTAAATGTTATTTAATACTGTTTATCATAAACAGAGCATTTGCTTAAATACTTGTATCTATAAAATAACAACGTTAAACATAAAATATGTCTTTAATAAATAAATTGTCGGACCTTGTCCATTTCTTAATATATATATATATATATATATATATATATATATATTGCTAAATTCAGCCGAATTCTTTAGTTGTATACCAAGATCAAAATTATGAATAAAGTGTCCATAGTTAATATTTTATTTATAATTTTGATCCTGATATACAAATTCTTATTCAAAAATTGGGAAAATACAATAAAAAATGAAATAGACAAACATTTTCGGCTTAATTTGACAAAATCATTTCTTATATATATTCTGCATATTGCGTATGCATATGCATATGTGTGTGTATATATATATAGTATAGTATATCGACTGCTTCATAGAAAATACGCAAAACTCCACCGAGTTTCAAATTAATTTCTTCGTAGATTGTTTTAAAATTTAGATATTTATCAAACCTTAACCTCCCAAATATGCACGTTAAAGTAACGCGAACCGACAGCGTCTAAGAATTTGAATGAAACCTGTCGTGTAATTTATTGGGGTTGTTGTAACGTCTTCCTTTAATGTAGTTCTTATCGCTCACCCCTTAACCACCTTTATCTAGAGACGAGACGCGTTAAATTTGAGCAACATCCAGCCGACACACTGGGGTTAAAATAGGAAACTAAAATGATACATATGACACACTCATATTCTCTCTCCCACCTCACTACCTCACTTCGTTAACTTTGCGTATACTTGATGAGGTCCGTAAAAAACGTGAATTTCTTTTCATTTTTCATTTCAGCTTTTGGAAGTAAAGTCTGATGATCCAGAACCCTGTTAAAGGGTTATGGTGAAATAACAATTACATGGAATCTTAACGTGGTCTGTCTTTTATTCAAAAATATCTGCTCTGAATTTTACATTGAGCTCTCTGGATATCATCCTCCTCAGGTCTACCCATACGGATTACCTAAATTTGCATAAACTATATATATATATATATATATATATATATATATATATATATATATATATATATATTACTTTAGACCTAAATCAATTTGTAAAAAAGTGATAGATTTTTTCTTTATTAATCCGATAGATTTTTATCTCTTTAAATGTTATTTCTTGTGTACACACATATTTGTTTAAGCGCTCCATGTATTTATTAAAATCTACATTTATTTATTTTCGTCTGCCGGTCTGAATATTCAAGAAATCAAGGTATTAATATGCACTCTCTGGTAGACACTTATATTCCGTGAATCTGGGAAAGAGTAGCGTTTATAAGGCACTATTCACACACACACACACAAAACATATATATATATATATATATATATATATATATATATATATATATATATATATATATATATATCATGCTAACTCCCTGGCGTCGGCCTTGTCGGGACCAGCTCGAGTGAGTCATCATTCAAGTATGTCTATTTCACGACAACAAAAATATTTCGTAGAGTGTCGTTTTCATTCTTGACTTCAGTTGGATAAAAAATTGTTTTAACTCAGTGCCTCATAATATTGATCGGGAATACATTTCGTTGATATTGTTCATACTAAAAAATAAAGAATGAAGTAAGAAAAAGCAAGGACAGAATGAAAGCAAAAAAAAAAAAAAAAGAATAAGATAAAATTAAGTTGCTAATCGGAACTGAAGACATACTTAATAAACAATGTATTTTTTGCTTTAATTTTACAAATAATCTTTTAAAATATCTAATAACTTGTATGCACGGTGTTTCAAAGATCACATTTTTATTTCAACTTATTGTTTTCAACTATCCATTTTAAATAATTTATTTTATACAGTATAAGTTTTTTAGCACAATGAATCAATTGAAAAACGGCAAATTAAATTTAGCCCGACCTCAAGTCGGCGAAAATCAATGTTTCGACTGGAGAGTTGGGGGGATGAGTGTGACTGGAGCAGTGTTCAGGAAATATGATATCGGTCATCAATAATGATCACAAAAACTAAAAATTGACAGATACATAAACACACTAACTTGTAGACATATATACAAACACACACTCGAGATAGATACACACACTATTTTTTTTTAAATTATCTGGCTAGAGAGTTTTCAGAATTATGTATTTTAGTCAGAGTAAAAAATAATTTTAGTATCTAAGTTATACGAATGGTATATTTTGTTAAAGTTTGTAATGAGTCCGACAAACATTGACTGACAAAATATAAGATTTCTTATTCAACCCGTTTCGTTCTTCGAATCCTTTTGAAGGAAAAAAAAACCGTAACAGGATTTTTTCCATTTTGACATACAACTAACCACTCCACTCTCTCTCTCTCTCTCTCTCTCTCTCTCTCTCTCTCTCTCTCTCTATATATATATATATATATATAATCTAGAGTCTAGATTTTATATGATGGACTCTGCCGTCGTTTTCGACCTATGAGTGCCTTTCAGTTCAGTTTTGAATCATGTACCTGTCCCCGTCACCTTAACTCTCTCTCCAGTGGACTTGTTGCTCAGGTGGAATAGCAAAGAAGAAACACAGAACTGAACTGCAGACTATCCACACAAAAGATTTGTTTAGATTGGTGAAGGCTTGTGTAGAACCAGCCACACTTATTAGAAATGCAGATAACAAGGACTTGGTGCAAATATTTCCTCACGAACAACACCCTGAGGTTTTATTATCACGGAGTTATACCCCTCCCGGTACTACCCGCGCACAGAAGACTGCAGCGGCTTTCGGGGTAATTTCGGATTTAGCCCGCCTGCTCAAGCGGTTTACAGTATTTGGCGCGTGGAGATTTAGATGTTATATATATATATATATATATATATATATATATATATATATATATATATACTAGAATGGCCTAGAATAGAAATAGAATAATCATTAGGAGCCAGGCAAAGCTACCTAGGTTTCACCTAAACGGATCTTCAGGGTAAAGCCGGCTAAAAAGGAAAATTACGGAACAGTATTTATTGATAAAACCAAAAACAACCATAACCACATGACAACCGCCCACTCCCCCTAAAAATACTCTATTCTAATAACCAGCCTTTGCTATGTCTACAACCACTAAGAATTTCGCGATATTTGGTTTAATAAATTTATATTATATTATATATTATATATATTATTATATTAAAAGTAGATAGATAGATATGTAGATATAAAGGGAGTGAGATAGATAGATAGATAGATAGATAGATAGATAGATAGATAGATATAAAGGGAGTGAGATAGATATAAAGGGAGTGAGATAGATAGATAGATAGATAGATAGATAGATAGATAGATATAAAGGGAGTGAGATAGATAGATAGATGGATAGATAGATAGAGATATAAAGGGAGTGAGATAGATATAAAGTATATAATATGTATTATGAAGGGCTAAACAAGCAGACCCCCAAAGTTGATTACTTGTATATGGCACCAACACGTAACGGACTCTATGACATGCAGATCGAACACTTGATACAGTTCGTGGTAGTTATTAGGTATGTGCCATCGATCTGCCTCAGCTCTCCACTTTGGGCCTCTATTGTTACCGTTCAATTCTTGACTGGCATTGCCAGTTGCCACGGAAACGGTATGACGTCACATTAATTCAGAATTTTGCTGATTCGTTTTTTTTGCTTTTGTTGCTAAGGCGGAATGCATATCAAATATGAAAAAAAGAAGAAAAGGATTTGTTACAAAATGGAACGTTCAAATGAAAGGGCAAAGAAAAATAAGAGTAAAAGAAAATGAAGGGCAAAGATAGTCAAAGGTAAAGAAAGAAACGAAAGAAAGAAATGAAAGAAAGAAATGAAAGAAAATGATTGAAAAGAAATGAAGGAAAGACAGAAGAAAGGATCAAAATAAAATGATGGAGGATGGGAGAATAGAAGAAAAGAAACCTAAAAAGGAATAAACGAAAAAACTGGAAAAAAGGAAAACGAAAGTTAAAATTAAAATGTTAAAATGAAGGAAGGAAAGAAATAATGCCGTATGAAAATGAATGAGAGAACAAGAAAGAAAGATATAAAGAAGGAAGAAAGGAAGGAAATAAATAAAATAGCATAAAAATAAATGAAAGAACGAGAAAGAAAAGAAGGACTTAAAATAGTATAAAATGAATGAAAGAAAGGGAAAAGAAGGAAAGAAGGAAGGAAGGAAGGAAAACAATAAAATATTATAGAAATGAATGAAACAATGAGAAAGGAAAGAATGAAGGAACGAAAAGGACATATAAATGAATGAAAGGAGGAGAAAAGAAGGAAAGAATGGAATAAAATATTATAGAAATAAATAAAAGAGCGAGAAAGAAAAGCAAGAAGGAAGGAAAGAAACAAATAAAATATTATAAAAATGAATGAAACAACGAGAAAGGAAAGAAAATAGCATACAAATGAATGAACGAACGATAAAGGAATAAAGAATGGAATAAAATAGTATAAAATGAATAAAAGAACGTGAAAGGAAAGAAGAAAAGAAATAAAATATAAAAATGAATGAAAGAACAAGAAAGGATAGAAGGAAGGAAAGAAAATAGTATACAGATGAATAGAGGAAGGAGAAAGGAAGGAAGGAAGGAAGGAAGGAAGGAAGGAGGAAGGAAGGAAGGAAGGAAGGAAGGAAGGAAGGAAGGAAAGGAAGAAAGGAAGGAAGGAAGGAAGGAAGGAAGCAGAAAGGAAGGAAGAAGGAAGGAAGGAAGCAGAAAGGAAGGAAGGAAGGAAGGAAGGAAGGAGAAAGGAAGGAAGGAAGGAAGGAAGGAAGGAAGGAAGGAAGGAAGGAAGGAAATTTCGTGACATTTTTTTTAAAATTGTCTAAAGACTTTGTGGACACCCTGTATATTATTATTCGACAGAAGAGATTTCTTTTATGCGCTGTGTATCTTCAGGGTGTGGGCGATCATGACTCTCCACGAAGCAGTTTTTGACCCCTTGATATCCTTCGCTTTTCATATTCTGCCACCAATTTACATTAGTCCCTGCTACCGTCTGTCTCTTTTACTCTCAATATATATTCAACAAATATCGAATTCTTAGAAGAGACTACTTCACATAATTTCCTGAGTTGGAAAATTCCATAGTTATTCAGAAAACATTATTCTTTTCTTTCTTTTTTTGGGGGGGGGTGTTTGTTTGGCAAAAGCCCTTCGATGTGATATTAACGGTTCGTAATGTTGTATCGCTAGATCATTTGCAACTGTTTAGGGAGTTCGATTCTTACTGGAGGACCCAAACACAGGAGCTTCTGCCACATCTAAGCTATCCTTAGTAAATCACTGTGTAGTCATTTCAACGTAGTGTAACGGTTAACAAGTTCGCAAGTCAGGCTAAATTAGTAGTGAGATCAATACTCGATAGGTGCTCCATAATATGCGGTCTTGTGCCACATATAAGCTACGCTTAGTAAATCAAAAGTGGTGAAATAGTTTGTAAGCTGGCTTCACTAGATTAATTACAACAGTAATGGGTTCAATCCTCATTAGGTGCTCCATAGCTGCAGACTTGTGCCTCGTGCATAGGAAATCACTATTTTCACCGCAAAGCAATAAAATGAAGTTTACTTTATACCATGTTAAAATTTGACTCCCCTGCTTATACTAGCCTTATGTATAACTTTCTATAAAACCAGATAGTTAAAAAATTTAAAGAGTTTTTAATGAGAATGCATTGTTTCGTACAGTATAACGTATATTGCTGTGTGTATAAAGCATTTTTTACGCATAAGTTAAACAGTTTTCATTAATTATGTTTGAGAATTTGGTTTGAATTTCAAGAAGACATTCATATATATATATATATATATATATATGAAGAAAAATATACGGAAAAACAAACAAAAATCCTAATATGCAATTATGCTGTTTTAATGTTAATATAATGTCAAAGTTTACCGTATATTTTTCTTCATACTGTCGGATCTATATCCATATATTTGCTTACATATTTATATATATATATATACATGCTTTCGTTCGCCGATTGAGCGCTATAAAGAAAGGGGAATTTTAAAAACAATGGCTGCTCCTGCTATTAACGCATCGCTCTTCAGTTATGAATTGAGCTCTCTTGGCTACTGGTGTTTGTATACATCACGTATGTAATACGTTAAAAATGTCCCTTTCTCTGCCGTGCGCCGATAGCTTAGGGTTAGAATTTCTGTCTAATGTCAAATCGGTCTAGTTTCGATCCCGGCTATATATATATATATATATATATATATATTCTCTCGAGAAAATATCAGCCTGGTATACCAGGCTACTATTTTCCCGAGAGAAAAAACAGGGACATAAAGACGTACATCGGAATATCCGTGGGAAATTGGAAACAGAGACTATACACTCACCGACATTCCTTCTCAAACATTGACCTGAAAAACCAAATCGCTCTATCCAAGCATTATTAGAAAATTAAAGATAATAACCTCACTCCAGTAATCAACTGGGAAATCATCGGTTCAGAACCCACAACAACTTCTGGAACAGATGCGATCATTGTATACAGGAAAAAATCGCAATAATCAAGTGTACGAACGCTAACCAATTGTTAAATCAACGGAATGAACTTATAATTAGACATAAAAACAAATTCAAATCCCTAAAACGATTGAAAACGCATTTGTTTCTGGGAGGATGATAGGTAAAATGGTCGTTCGTCGGTAAGGATAGTAGCACATATGGGTCTACACTCATATGTAGGTATGTAGATTTGGACACGTGCGTCTACGTGCATAGGCACGTACGTGGTATTGAATATTACACGACCTGGTTACTTTGTCCGTGCTACAATACGCATGGTTGGACCTAAGACTGTCTTGCCGATGTACACCTTACCCATGTTTCCAAACTAACACATATCATTTCAATACTCCATAACTTTTACTCTTTTTCCTTTCTTCTGGGTATTTGTTTTGAATTACTATTCGCCACTTAATTCTCTAAATTTATTTGCTTTATTCACCTATTGTATCTGGCAATATTATTATGACTTTAATTATAGTATGTACTAGTGACTACTTCATGGTACTCACCAGTAATCAACCCACTGCAAAAGCCAATTTACATAGTTCAAAAAATTAAGAAATATCAAAGCCAGTCAGACAACTAAAGATACCACCTCCCCGCATTTTCCTTCTCACCCTCTTCTTCCCTATACCCCCCTGCCCATCCTATCCGTCTCAGATTCTTCCACTCCTTCTATAGCTCTCTCTTTCGTTCCCTTCAGTCTCCACTATTAGACTTCGGCTAAAAAAAAAAGACAAATGCTTAAGTATGACAATATTAATACCGACCTTTATTTGGATTAAGGTCGCTTTCATTAAATTAATTTAAAGCGAATTGATTTGTCCTTCTTAAAAACAGGAAATAGTATCAGTAAATGCAACCCAATATTACAATCTCAAAAGTATAGAGTAAATTCTTGGCTGGGTAAACCGACTACTACGAACCACTAATGCCTTAGCCCATTACCCATCCTTTCTCCCTCACCTTCTCTCCTCACTACCAATTTATTGTCCGTACGGTGTACTTTCTCCATTTGCGGAGGAGATTTCGTTCTGATGAGTTAACGAAATGGATAATTAAAATCTCCGTTATATCATATCATTATAATGCTCTGTAGTCTACAATGAGCTCTCCCTGTATTTATATCCTCCCGGAATTATCCCTTCCAGTCACAACCTGGTAAAAATTATATATATATATATATATATATATATATATATATATATATAGATAGATAGATAGATAGATAGATAAACAGAACAGAATGAGACAGATAAATAGATAAATAAATACGTAGGTAGATAGGTTTGAACAGAAAGAGATAAATAGATATATAGATATGAACAGAATAGATAAATATATATATGAACATGATATAGATATGAAGAGATAAATATATATATGAACATGATATATATATATATATATATATATATATATATAGAGAGAGAGAGAGAGAGAGAGAGAGAGAGAAAGACATAGGTTTAAATAGAATAGGATAGATATATAGAAATGGACAAAATTGGTCCTTTATAGAATTACTGTTATATCCAATAACATAATAAGACATCCCTTGAATAATTCCAAGAGAAACAGCCCGCCAAATGGATACGTAACTAGAAGAGAAAATAATGTAATCGTGCTGTTAACTTTTCACACTGCCAAAACAAAAATAAATAAATAAATGTTTTGAAGTAAAACGCCGATAGCATTTGGTGGACTTGGGAGGTCTAATTCCATAAAAATAAAAACCTTCTTTATTAAAAATTTTATAGATTTTACCCGTTAGTAACACTGTTCGATTAATGAATCCCAAGTGCTTTCTACATTAACACTGTTGATTTTAACCTTGCCACTATCATTAGCAATAAATCACGTTATCACCATGTTGATGACGCCATTTAAAAAACACCAACAGCATACACATAAAGCCGAGTGTAAATTGTGCTTTTAGGTTTCTTAATTATTCAATGATTGTGTTTATCTTTACAATCAACTGATAAACACTGATAATCGAGTCAGATATTCGTTTCTCTAAATCGTTTTCCCCCGCGATGATTGCATAAGTATAGTTGATAATTATAATTAACGATTTCTTGTTAAGCAATTACTGTACAGTCGAAACTGTAATCTAACAAATTTGCCTCACATCTCACAGCTTCCATTGACCTCCGTTTAAAATGCTTTGAATCGATATTGAAAAGTGATAATTAAATAGGCATACGTTTATCTCGCGTGATAAAGGTAACGTCATGATTGGTCAAAATTCATCATTTGATGGTGACACTGGAGTAACCTCTCCAGAGCAAAGGGCTAGGCGACGGCATATGGAATAAAGGCATTACATTTGGGGACAGGTTGACTGCAGGAGTTGTCGGAAATCAGTGTTGACAACCAAACATTTTCGGATCTCCACTCAAGGTTTTCTATTTAGATTTAATTCCATAGTCTTTTTCGTGCTTGTTTGGATATGATCTCAAGGCAGCAGAGGTTTAAATCAGACTTTTCCATCTCCTAGGTGGACTGACTTCCTGTGCTGGAGAGCTCCATCTAAACGAATCAGCTGGTTATGAGGCGCCAGTTTTCCGCCTTCGGCCATTCTCTGGCTTAGAGTTAGATTTAGTTGTCGGAGACTATTTGAGATGAATGTCACCTAAGCATTTTATAGACAGTGAGAGCTTGTCCCCGTTAACACCCGCTGCTATGACAACCTTTGGAACATATAAAATATACGTATATAGATGTTATATACATTACGTGTTTTAGAATATTTCTTTTAAATCTATATAAATAAATGCGAATATCTGTTTATCAGTGTGCCATAATTTTTTCAAGTTTACTCTTAAAGGCCGTAGCCCAACTTATCATACCATTTTGGGATCAGGACGACCCCGTGAGCAAATCAAAAAAACATTTCGGGTCGGATCCTGACCTGAAATCCTGAAATTTTAGATTCCCAAGTTTTCATTACTGCGTTTGTTTTCGATGATTTTTTTTTTTACGTGATTTTTTTGCGACGAATCTTAATTTTTGTACGATAACAATTTTTATGACTTGCAAATAAATTTCTGAATAATCGAAATTGCGAAATCTAGCGAATGTTACCCATGAAATAAAAGTAATTGTTTGTATGGAAAGTAAGGACCTATTTATATGAAACTGTCTTTGAATTAAGTGGCAACAGAAGAATTATCGTTGGACTTTTAAAAGGTAAGCTTAAATATTAATGCAACACTTAAATGCAGCGATAAGTTTTCAGTTCTTCCGTAGATTATTGTTGTCTATCGCATACGGTAGCAT